TCATTTTTCCCTCCCCTGCTCTGAAATATAAAAATAAATAAACTATATGCCAATTTTATATCTAGCAGTTTTTAATTGAAATAACTAATTTGCATGTGTAGGGTCAAAGGGGAATTTCCCTTTCCCTTTAAGGTTTGAGTTTGCTGAAATAAACCAATGGTAGATTAACTGGAGGAAAAGCAAGTTTATTGTATTCATGGGGGAATGACGAGAGAGTGACTACCCAGTAACCCAGTGAGGTTCAGCATCTTATATACCCTTCTTCACAGGAGAGAGAGAGATGGGGGAATGTAGGCAATTGTGAGAAGTAGGAAATTATTTTTAGGAGAGTTGAATGAGCCCAAAGAACAGACCACAGTTTGGAAATTATACTCTTTGGAAACTCCTTGGAATATGATCAAAGAATAGACAACAGCTTCTGACAAAGTCTGCCTAGGTGTGGTGACATCCCTCAGTCTTACTTTCTGCTGTGAGTTTAATCTTCTCCAGTGAAGAAAATCTCAGGGAGGTGATCAAAGACCACTGGGTTCTTTCTGGAGGAGCTTCAGATACGGTAACTTCAGAGAGGAAGAGTGTCATCCTGCACTTGGGGGCAAAATAGGAGAAGTTAAGAAAGTCCTTGGTTCTGATGCTGATTCTAACACCCTTTAATTTTCTTTCGTTCAAAGTGCCTGGCATTGGAGGGTGGGTGAGGGGGAAGTTAATGGTTAATGGGTTAAAAAAAATAGAATGAATAGGCTGGCACAGTGGCTCACACCTGTAATCCTGGCACTTTGGAAGGTTGTGGCGGCAGATCACCTGAGGTCGGGGGATGGAGACCAGCCTGGCCAACATGGTGAAACCTCGTTCCTACTAAAAATACAAAAATTAATTAGCTGGGTGTGGTGGCGCATGCCTGTAATCCCAGCTACTTGGGAGACTGAGGTAGGAGAATCACTTGAACCCAGGAGGCAGAAGTTGTATTAAGCCGAGATCATGCCACTATACTCCAGTTTGGATGACAGAGCAAGACTCGGCATCAAAAAAAAAAAAAAAAAGAATGAATAAAATCTAGTTTTGATAGCACAAATATAGGGTGACTATAGTCAATAATAATTTTATTATACACTTAAAAATAACTAAAAGACTAAAATTGGCTTGTTTGTAACATAAAGAATAAATGTTTGAAGGGATGGATACCCCATTTACCCTGATGTGATTATTAGACATTGGATGCCTGTATCAAAATATCTCATGTACCTCATAAATATATACACCTACTACATACCCACATTTTTTTTTTTTTGAGATGAAGTCTCACTCTTGTCACCCAGGCTGGAGTGCAATGATGCAATCTTGGATCACTGCAACCTCTGTGTCCCGGGTTCAAGTGATTCTCCTGTCTGAGCCTCTTGAGTAGTGGGATTACTGGCACTTGCCATCATGCCCAGTTAATTTTTGTATTTTTGGTAGAGATGGGATTTTACCATGTTGACCAGGCTGGTATCGAACTCCTGACTTCAGGCAATCCACTCGCCTCAGCCTCCCAAAGTGCTGGGATTACAGGCAAACTTTTTCAAAAAAAAAATTTAAAAACAAACCAGCAACAGAAAAAGGGTAGAGTGCTCAGCATGCCAGAGCACGATACTTTGGGGTATTGTTTCTGAGTCCCGACACATGTGCTTTTAGATTTTTCAACATACAATATTATATCTGTAAGGAGTGACAGTTTTGTTCCTTCTTTTCCAATTTTAAAACTCTATGATGGCCAGGCCCGGTGGCTCACGCCTATAATCCCAGCACTTTGGGAGGCTGAGAGGGATGGATCACCTGAGGTCAGGAGTTTGAGACCAGCCTGACCAACATGGTGAAACCTCGTCTCTACTTAAAATAGAAAAATTAGCCGGGGCATGGTGGCTCACGCCTATAGTTCCAGCTATTCGGGAGACTGAGGCACGAGAAGCTCTGGAACCCGGGATGCAGAGGTTGCAGTGAGCTGAAATTGCACCACTACGTTCCAGCCTGGGCAACAGAGGAGACTCCATCTCAAAAAAAAAGTTCACTTCTCTTTTCTTGGCGTCTTGGTCAATTATAAAGCCGATAGAAATTCAAGGATGTTAAAATCTAGGTTTTGGATCTCAACTCAACTTCTTGCCACGGATTAGTCAGTTTTGCTTAATTATATAAAAGGCTTTTGAGGCCCCTGCCCAGGACACCTATTAAGACAAAGAACTATGAAATCTACTACATCACACCTTGTTGATAGACTGTATATGCCACTCCTCCCACCGCCTTCATTAGCAGGTCCCTAATTTAGCTGATTTTGGAGTTCTGAAAAATATATGTACTAATTTCTTTCCTTGCTCTCCTGAAATACAGACTGGAGTTCCAAGCAGCTTCTCCTGTAATAAAAACATATATAATTTCAGCCAGGCGCAGTGGGTCATGTCTGTAATCCCAGCACTTTGGGAGGCTGAGGCAGGTGGATGACCTGAGGTCGAGAGTTCGAGACCAGCCTTACCAACATGGAGAAACCCCATCTCTACTAAAAATACAAAATTAGCTGGGTATGGTGGTACATGCCTGTAATCCCAGCTACTTGGGAGGCTGAGGCAGGAGAATCGCTTGAACCCAGGAGACAGAGGTCGTGGTGATCCAAGATTGTACCGCTGGACTCCAGGCTGGGCAACAAGAGTGAAATTCTGACTCAAATAAATAAATAAATAAATGTGGCCAGGGGTGGTGGCCTTATGCCAACAGTCAGGGCTTTTGGTGGAGGATAAGGGGTGGGTGGAGGGCCGATGAGGCAAGCGAAATTAGGAAATAATACATCCTGAAAAGCCTTGCCCAACCAAGCTCTAGACAATCCCTTTCTCCGGGGCTGATCTTCCTACCAGCTGCTCTCAAAAACTTCCTGATGCTGCCCTAGTTTCTGGATCATAGGGTTCCTTCTGGCCTCCTGTGGGAACATTCCATGGCCATATTCTCCGCAATGGCTCCCTTCCGAGGGTATATTAGGGATGATACCCCAGGTGGGAACCGCTCCTTTAGGAACAAATCGCTTGGGCTCCAGGGTGTCCACCGGGAAAAAACCCTTCTGGAGAAGTCCGGAGAACCTGGGCAAACTCAGCCGGCCCAGAGCCTTCGTGATCTCCCGTTCCGGTGGGCTCGTATTGGCCGGCAGGGGGCGCTGCCCAAGCCAACAAATGCCTCCCGCAGGCCAAGAGTCCAAAACTTCTTTCTTGGTTTCCTTTAAGACAGAGTGAGATGGGCAGCAAGTTTCTTGGTTGCTGACACGGGTAGAGGATAATAGGTGAATAAACAGAAAATTCAGCCAGCATAAATACAGTCTAACTGTTGAAGAACAGATTTCTGAGTCTACCATAACTTTCATGCACTGCAGCACTTCAATATTCAACCTGCCACCTTCAGATTCACACTGCAGCACCTCAGGTAAGAAGGAAAGGAAGTGAATATGCACAGAGGACCTACTTGTGTTACGAGCTTTACAGTTTAGCTGCACTGGAGAAGAGTTTATTTTTTTCTTGGAATCCATTACATTACCGATCCCCTTCTGAAGGAGGTTATTTTATCCGCAAGAGGAAGCATCCAAAGTCGTTCATATTCTCTAACATGTGACTCCACCAAAATGGTGACAAGGTTTTGAAGCGAAGGAGGGCACTTGACTCTAGGGCAGCCATCCTTGAACTGACTAGCCAGGTGCCCGTGGAGCAGACTCGCGTGGGGATTTTATCCTTTTGGAATAATCCAGTGACAAAACTGGATACTATTACTTTCTTTCCTTCCCCCGATGCCAGGAGCTATAGCTGTTTTGCCTTTGTTTTTGGCATTTAGCACTTAGCCTAATGCTCGCTATAAAAGTGCCTTCAAGAAATCTTTAATGGGCCATTTTGGTAGGTCTGGTTGTTGCTGTGGATCTTTTGTAGATGCCTATTTTTAGATTAGAGAAGTTTCTTCCCTTCTGCTCCTGGTTATCTCTCTTGAATGGATTGGGAATTTCACTGAATGATGGGGTTATACAGCATATTTCTTTAATCAGTTAATGGGGTGAATTAGATTAGTTGATTTTAGAATACTAAACCAACCTTGTATTCCTGGGATAAACCCTTTTTGGTTATGTGATATAATCTTTTTTATATATGACTAAATTTAATTTGCTAATATTTTGTTAATTTTTTTTGTATTTATGTTCACAAATGAGATTGGTCTGTAATTTTTTTGTACTGCCTTGTTTAATTTTGATATCTAGGTTACATGTTAGCCTCCAGAAATGAATTGGGGAGTAGTCCTCCTTTCTTTATTTTGTAACTGGAATTATATGTTATTTTAATACTTGGTAGAACTCACATGTAAGGCTGTTTGGTCCTGATATTTTCTTATTTTCTTTGAGATGGCTTTTTTTTTTTCTTTTCCTTTTTTTTTTTGGATATGGGTCTTCCTATGTTGCTCAGGCTGGGGTGCAGTGGTTATTCACAGGTGCGATCACAGAGCATACCTCGAACTACTAGTCTCAGCTGATCCTTGAACACTTGGTCTCAGGTGCCTCAAACTCCTGGGCTTGAACTCCTAATCTCGAATAATCCTGCTGCCTCAGCCTCCAGAATAGCTGGGTCTACAGGTGCACACCACCAGGCTTAGTCTCACACTATTTTAAACTTCTGTTTCAATTTCCTTAACGGTTAAAGAGATGCTAACTTTTCCATTTCTTCTTGAGAAAGCTTTGGCAGATTGTTTTTTTCCCATGTAGGAATTTATCCATTTTGTCTAAAGTTTCCAAATATATTGGTACAAAGTTATTCATAATCTGTTTAATATTTAATGCATTGATTTTATGCCCTATTTTTATTCTGACTTTTTTTGTACCTTTTTTATTGATAAAACTTTTGAGGTGTGTCTCTCTTATTAGACAGAGATTTTTTCAGACATGCAGAAGCAAGTACTTATAAACTCATGTAGAAACTTTTTTAGAATGGGTCCACCTCTTTCTTTTTTCTTTTTTCTTTTTTTTTTTTTTTTGACAGTAACAATATGTTTATTATAACATCCAGCCAAGAATACAAACACAAAATACCTCTTAATTTAAGGAGAATAAGAAAACATCAGGCGATTCTTAGAGTACTACTACAAATACAGCCTTCACCTACAGTAAAAATTAAGCCAATTTCAATCATTTTGGTCATCATCCCAGTCTTTCTTCCCACTTGGAGGCTTGGGCCCACCAGCTGGTTTTGCCATGATGATCTGATCCACTCTAAGTACAGTGACTGCAGCATTAGTAGCGAGTTTGATAGCCCAATGTTTTCCCAGGTAAGTATCTAGAATACCAGCTTCCAACATGTCCTTTACAGCAGGGACTTCAGCCTCAATATCTAATCCAACATTTTTATTTCCTTCTTGATGTACTGCATAAAGTTTAGAGATTACTTCATTGACCTTAACTCCAGAGTTTTCTGCCAGTGCGCGGGGAATAGCTTCAAATGCCTCAGCAAACTTCTTAATAGCGTACTGTTCAAGTCCAGGACATGTCTCTCCGTATGATGTGATCTGTTTGGCTAATTCAATTTCTGTTGCTCCACCTCCAGGTACTAGACGTTTATCCCTTGTAAGAACTTTGAAAGTATTAACACCATCGTCTACTGCCCTTTCTATGTCATCCATCAAATTGTCTGTAGAGCCTCGAAGTACTATGGTAGAAATGGCGCCATCTTCCTTTTCATGCTTAAAAACCACCACCTGAGTATCTCCAACTTCTGAGAGGCAAACACTGTCACAATGTCCCATTTCTTCAAGGACAGGAGGTGTCAATCTAGGAAGAGCTGTAGCACCAACTGTTTTACACAGTCTTCGGAGATCCCATTTTGAGTTTAGCCTCACTAACATGATATTATATTTGTTTGCATAATGAAGAGCCATGTCTGCCACTTTGCCACCTGTTACTA